TAAATTTAAGACTCAGAATATCAGTATTCCATATAGAATATATATAAATAGCAAAAAAACCCTATGCCAGATCATAAAAACATTGTGCATTGCAGGGCCAGACCTATAGATCAGTACTCAAATGTCCAAATGTGTAAAATTAAGATATATGGATCCCTGTTAATTTGTTACTCCTGTGAAATTTATATCAGAACCTTAAATATGTTGGGTAGACTCAAGACGGGTCTAATTTAAAGCTAATGGGGAAAGTTATTGGTTTCTTGTACTCAGGCATTTTATTTTTAATGGTCTGTCAGTATGCTCTGAGTATAAACATTAGTGTCAGAATTTTTTAATGATACTTATCTTGTGAGTTTCATAATTTGTAATGGCTGTGCAGTTTTTACAGGTGTATTTAATGGCAAAATCTTATCTTGAACTGCATTTTAAAAGCTCAAGTGTAGTTTGATTTTCTGGGAACGGGAGGAGGGGTGGAATACCATTCTCTCCTTGGGGAGACAGCAGTTTCCTCGCGCAGCATTAACTTGAAAGAATATGAGAAGCGCATATGTTGCCAACAGGAGTGTGGACGTATAGAGTTCTGAAAATAGTAAGTATCAATAGGGAAGGGTTGCAGGTGCCAGAAGAAAAATGTAAGCTCCCGAGGGCACTATCTCTTTTTATTTTTGCCTTGTCCAATGCCAAGCCACATAGGTTGATGTTTAAAATTCAGTTCTTCCCTGAAAAGTGATTATATAAAAAAAAAGGTCCCATTTCAGAACAGATGTGTTTCCTGTGTGTATTCAGAATCACATTTATTTGTTTCCATGACTCTCTTTTTAATATACCATTTACACCTGTTATACGTGTGCAGCCAAAAGTGATGTGAGGGAGAAAACAAAAATCCGCTTCTCAACGGGTATAAGCCGTGGAGCTACCGCGATGGGGCAGCTCTGACCAAGGCTCACAGGCAGCGGGACCTCTGCATCTACTCTTTTTGGGAACACAGTAGCCGTGCTCTGCGGCTCTTTCCCCTCTGCAAAACACTAGCTTAGAAATCTGTAACATGGGATTAAACCACTTAACCTGCGATGGCAGCAAACTGAGCCGATTATTAATTCTTCTATCCTTGTTCGCCACTGAGGATAAGTGATCGCTCATCTTTATAGCAACCTTTTCATATGATCGAAGACTGTCATCACGTTCCCTGTGAGCTTCTGCTGTCTTATACTAAACATAGCTAGATCCTTCTCCTTTGCTTCCTATGGGTCTTTGGGGCTGGTTAGTTTGTTTGCTTGTGTCTTTAAACTCAATGATTCCTGTTGTTCTCAGCTAAATTCTTTAAGAATGGGTGGCCTACACCTGGCCACAGTATTCCAGAAGTGGATGGACTATTCCAGTTGAAGTCTTTCCAGAGATGTGTTTGCTGGAGCGGAAGGGAATGATATCTAAGACATTTCCCTTATTTGCAAGAGCAACAGATTGCTGACATATTTGCTTTATGATCTAGACCATTTTCTACAGTACTGCTTAGCCACTTATTCCCCATTTTATATTTGTGCTTTTGTCACTTCACTTTATTGAATTTTATCTTCATTTCAGATCATTTCTGCAATCTATCAAGATCATTTTTGAATTCCAATTCTGTCCTGCAAGGTATCTGCATCCTCTCTTGAGCGTGGTTTCATGTACTGACTTTTTACATGAACTCCATTCCGCCTTCCAAGTCATTAAACAAAAATAAAGGAATTTTGAGAAAATGCCATAGGCTCAATTGGCCTTATATTCCAGTTGCAAGATCTATTTTGGTTCAGCAATCACCATCACAGGCAAGTAGAAAAGCCTCATTTGGCTTGCAGACTCTTAATCATGTAAGTGTGTAAAGTGTAAAGAAGAACCCAGCTTGACTCTCAGATCACACAGTGAACATGTGGGACTATTAGATGGAGGGGGAAAAAGAACATCATTGTACTTAAAATCTGATTACATTTGCCAGAGAAATCAGAGTCAGGAAAAAATATTGAAACCCTAGGATTCCATTTACTTGGAGACCCTATTCAGAGTTGCTTCAAATTACAAATAATACAGGGGTGGAGGGGATCAGAGGGAACAATGACAGTTGTGGCAGAAGACATTTTGCTGCTTGGGTAGCTGGCTACAGCAGCGTGGCATCTTCACTTCTGACCCAGCTCGCTGGCTGTCTCTGCCCTCTTCTCTCCTTTGACCCATTCCTTAAGTTTATTTTAATATGAAATATTTTTAAAGTATTAATTTTTTTTTTGTTATGTTTAGGCCATTATTTCAATGTTTGAGCGTGTGAGTGCACTACGTGAAAGGGAGGTTGCCATGGTAATTTCTCATTATTGTTGAATAGAAAAATAATTACTCTGGCAAAATCCCCCGTAACCTGTCAGAGCATAAGTTAAAGATGCCTGGGGGCAGCCTTGCCTTCACCATCCCCTTTTTGCAAGAAAAAGGGGGTGATTTTATTATTCTTCTTTTTTTTTCGTAATAACTGGATCCTTTTTCAGCTTGGCTAGGGGACACCTCATTTGGTTTTGTTCACCATTTGGCTGTGAGAGTAGTTGGGCCCACCTGTGACAAGGGTGGAGTAGAGAATTATTCAGCAGAGCATATCCAAGCTTGACAGAGGATTTATATATTCTATTAAGGTTTGGGGTTTTTTTTGTGGGTGGGGGTGGGGTGTTGCATTTTCTGTTTTTTCCTCTTCCTGACATAAAATATGCAAAAGCATGAGATAAAGACCTTGTACAGTATTCAAACTGTGACAGAGTCTGGATATTTCATCTATCCAGGGAGGGAATCCACAGTAATTCCATCTTCACATTTTCCTTGCCTTCAGACTTCTTGGAAGCAAGAGTGAGTGCAAATATGTGTGGTTTTGAGGTGAGGCGCTGCACTTCTCTGTCTTCTCTGTCTTTCCTGTGGGCATTTGCATCCCAACTATGTGATGCTCCCCTTTTGCCTCCCGTGTCGTTGGATGCTGCACGAGTAGCTCCAGTGATACTTAACTACGGAGTTAACAAGTGCTGCAGCTGTGGTATGTGACAGTGCCTAAATCCTTCCCTCCCCTCTTCCTTGCCTATGACAAGTGTGTCTAAAAGATCCCAGTTAAACAATACTGCAGCCTCTCGTTTGGCAAATGGCAGATAGTGGTAGCCGGTAATTATTTGTTGGACAATACACTCTCATATGGGCTTATAATGTCGCCCACCAGGCTGTCCCAAGTGAAGGGTTGGTGCGCAGAGGTGTGTTCCTAGAAGCTGGTTGCTGGGCTTCTGCTGAACACCTGTATATATATTCTGTACTTACCGTTGTGGCTACTTGGCTAGTCAATGCAGCGATGTTGGCACGTGGAAACACTCAGCAGGTTCACACCAGCAAAGAAGAAAGAGCAGGAGCTCTCTGCTACAATGGATTTCTAAGACATGGGGACGGTTTTGATACCTCTTTGCGTGACTGAATTTCCAGCAAGTACCACAGGGCTGTGCCACTCGTTGTCCTGCTGCTGCCGGGCAGGATGAGCCTTGGCAAGGAAGATGAATTACAGGCTCTGACCCATCCAAGAAGTCTCTTGAGGGTCTCTGGTAGGAGCTGGAATGCTAAAACCTGTCCTTACCGTTTCTCCATTGGATGCTTGCAAAAATCAAAGTAAAATTGTGAGTCAGGAAAGATACCCTGGCTCAGCAAGGAGTATGGAGTGAAATCCAATAGTAACGTCTTCAGGAAAAACAGGAGCAGAACTAAAAAACCCAGACAGTTATTTCTCTGCATGTGTACATAGAATGATAGATGCATGTTTTGTCCTAAATCGGCATTTTATCTCAGGGTTTTTTTTCCTGTGAAGGTAACAAATGTTTTCTGGCTTAGTTACATATTGCTCAGGCATTAAGAGGTACTCAGTGCTCACTACGCTGGATGAACCTTGCACGCTGGGAAGGCAGCTGCTGTGAGTGGGATAGAGTGGCTCTGAGGAGTGCGACTGGGGCATCTTCAGAAGTGTATTTCCAGCTTTGTTGCTGATCCTGTGTGCTGCAAGTGATTTAAATCTCAGGACCTCAAAGGAGCAGAAGAGACTGCACCAAACATTTAAAATCCAGCTATTAAATGTATCTATAGCTTTTGAATGAAACAGTTGGTGGATTCTGTTGTTGCCTGACTTCCATGAAAACCCTTGCAAGCTGGACCACTTGCACAGGTGCTAGATGTCGAGGTTTGGGTGCCTGTTGTTGATCACCCAGGTCTGAAAATGCCTGGTTCAATTGTCAAAACCAACAGACCACCTGTAGTGCTGTATTGGTATATGCTTTACATTGTATATTATGTTAATAATTGCTATGTTCCAGCTATGTGTATTACTGTAGATCTAAGTATACACAGGTCATCTTAAAATACTGTTTTCACTTCATGTGTCACACCGAAAAGTAAAGATTTCTCACAACAATTACATTTAAGTAACTAGCCGGTATTTAATTAAGCTGAAGTAGCATTGTATTTATATTAAATGCATTGCAGTGGAATTATATATAGTTTCTAAATAACTTTCTTGTCAACTCATGCTGATAATCAGATGATGTAGCATTATAGAATTAAGTACTGAGGTTTTTTCGTTATTAGGACCAAGCATTTAAGATACACGGCCCAGAAAAGGGGGGGAAAAGTCATAATCGCTTTATTTGCAACTGGTTTATAAAACCATTTTTAACGTTTGAAGAAAAACCTGTATTTATGAGAATGAAGGTTTTTACATATTTAGTGTGCTCGATAAAATGAAAGACAGTTTATTGTATAATAAACTAAACATTTTAACTTTTTTCTTCAATTAGAACTAGAACTTTATCTAGGAAAATTAGTTTGAAATATCATATAGACATCTACACCCCAAAATCATAGGTGAAGAAGTGCAAACTATGTGTGATCCTGTTGAATTTCTTTTACAAAGGATGAACATATTTTCATTTTGCCTCCTGTTAAGTGAATGATCTGTTGCTTCCTAGGATAGTGACAACCTCTGGTGGGATGCCTTTGCAACTGAATTTTTTGAAGATGATGCAACCTTAACCCTTTCATTTTGTTTGGAAGATGGACCAAAGCGATACAGTAAGAGATATATTTTTTGTTCTAATTTTAAGCCTGCGTTTCTAAACACAGTTTATCTGTAAGAGACAGATGCAACCCTGGCAATGACAAAGTCACTTGTTTGTATTCAGTGACTATCAAGTTCCATTAAAGAATTGCATGTGTTGGGAATCCATTTTTTTGTGGAATTCCTCTGAATTTTATTACATGAAAATAAATGATTTCCTAGTGGATTAGGGCAAATAATACAATATAATCTTTGGAATTTTTTAATTAATTTGCTTTGGCTGTGCTTGCACTCTTTGTTAATTTGGTTTCCGCAAACATTCGAGTGTTGAGTCTTGTCGGCAAAGTTGTTCACAGAAAGGGAACTTTGTAGCAAATGTCAGTATTGTTGCTGGAGGGGCTTCCAGATTTAAACAGGGATCAGAAAAAAAATACCACAAGCTATATCCTTGGTGGTGTAGATAATCATTATTCCATCAGCTGCGTGGATCTATGCTGTTTGCACACATTAAGGACCTGCCCTGGATATTGTCTGGACAGCAGTGGAAGTCTAGAATACTCTCAATCAAGCACTAAATGAAAGCTCGAATAAAAGTGAAGCAGTGAATAAATCTGATGGCATCGGTATCCATTGCCCGCATACACTGAGTAGGAAAAAGGAGTAAAATTCCTCGAACAAATTGTTTGAAGTGAATAATTCACTCAGCTTTAGCACTAAGCAACAGAGAGATAAGTAAACATTGAAAAACTGCATTGCCAATTGTTTCACTCCATTCAGAGTGACCCCTGCTTCACGGTGACAGCTTATGCTCTCTGCTTAATGTTCTGAATCTTGCCAGGTTCTTCTTTTTTGTGAGGGTGACTGATCGTCAGCGTATCACTCACATACTTTTAATTCCTTTTATCAATTATCTCAGGTATTCATTTGACAAGTGTTACCTTCTCCCGGAGAAAAAATAACAGCCACTTTGAATGCACGTTCTAGGATTAGTGTTGACAGAATTACAGTTTCTTGCCTTTCAAAGCAAGTGATAACTCTGTAAAGGTCCTCAAATTACAGCCTATAGCAACGTTGGTAACAGCTGATCTGTCCTGATTAGGTTGAGTCAACTTGTCAGATATCAGATTTGCTAGTTGTGTTATCAGTCCAGAAGGCACAGATACATCAGCAAAAAAGCAATTAATGTCCAGTTAGATCAGAGGGAGTTGTGTTTCTGGAAAACAGTGCTGCATATGAAAGAATTTGTCAAAGAGTAAAATATTCCTGTTGTCACAAATGCTTGATAATGGTTGCGCTATCTGTAGCTGGGACAGTTTGGTATGGGAATACTGTGATTCTTAGCATTGTTGCTGATAAGTGTGATTGAAAGATCAAATTACTGTGGGCACGTTTTTAAAAGCCACTAGTACACAGGATTTTTCCTCTGGCTTTAATTTTTGACCTCTGCACAAACTGTTATTGCTTTTGGTGTTGTTATTCTCAGCATCTGGAATTAAAGCTCAGCATATAGGGCTGTTTCTGTTCATGCATGCTTCCTTTCCTTTGTTAGTAAATATTTAGGTAATTCTGAACTACAGTATTAGTGATTCTTCCTGACGCTAGCAGTATTACTGTTTAGTGATACTCTAAAATGCATGCTTGAGCTGTTCCAGTCTGGGACTTCCATTGCCATCTAAGCAGGCTTTGAGAGCAGCCTTGGGAGTGCCAGGTTGTCCAAGTCCCGGCTCGGGGACACCTCCAGCATTGCCTGGGGAGGGCGCAGAGTGGAAGTTGTGTGTTAAGAGCAACCCTCTCTTCCGACCAGGGAAGTTTGTGTCCAAAAACATGTCCAGGAGTTGAGAACAGAGCAGTCTGCTCCCCTTTGGGCAAGCAGAAAATTGCTTCTACCTGTAGCAGGTTCTCGCTGAGCACAGAGAGCTGATCGAGGTCTCTGTTTTGCCTGCCCAAGCCATGCACATGCTCCATTACAACTACGGAAAGTCTTGGCATCTCCCAAAGACTATAACGTCACCCAGTACCTCTATTCCAAGTAACTGGTGAAATTGCTGACCAGTGGGCTGGGGCTCCTGTTAGATGAGCCAGAGTATGCTGAGTGGCGGCAGCACCAAGCGTGGAGTTTTGGAAGAGATGAAACAAAAGTGCCTGGTCTCCATCCGCGCTGTCCCCAGCGAGACACCTGCCTCCTCGCCCAGCGTGCATGCTCTTTAGTATGTAGTGGGCATCAAAAACATCAGAGCTGGCTGAGAGGGAAGAGAAAAGACAAATTGTTCTTACTCTTGCAGGCACAAACAGTAATGGAGGGAACAAAGATTAGGCCCTAGAAAAGAGAAATAGGCATTCTTTGAGAAGTCGTTTATAGAGTTGAAAGTGATGAAAGATGCCAACCTCTTGCCTTTGCTCCAGGATTCAGCTCAAAATTGCCTGCCTTTGTCTTGCTTCAGCCTGTGAGAGATTTGCTTACATCTCTGACATTAGTTGTGGCTGCCACCTCATGTTCTTTCCTTTGGACAATGGTTTCCCTCTTTTGGGAACTAAAATATTCTCTTCTGGAGCAAACCAATTCCAGAAAAAATCTTGGGTGGGGGGTGGGGAAGGACAAATAGTTTTTCGTTATCCATGGCCACAATTTTTCTCTGGGTTATGGCAATTCCCAGTCCTTTTCCCTCCTTGTTCTCACGGACTACCCAGATCTTGCCGTGAACCGCTGGAGACGAGGAGGAGCATGGTGTTTTGCCCCAGGTTCCTTCTTCAGAGTCCCCAGGAGTGTTGTGGGAGGCTGCTGGAAACTTGCATATTCTCTTCTGCTCTTCTCTAATCTTGACTGCAGTCCCCAAACCCCTCTGGGGGCTTCTTTTCCCTGCTTGCTTGAAAATTTTCCTTTCTGTGGGTTTCCTTTTACAGCCTTTTTCCCAGCTGGCTCTCGCTGCCCTCTGCTCTTACCTGGACAGCCCAATCCCACAGCCAATGCAAATGTTCAGAGCACATGAATCAGGCCTGTAAATCATTGTTTGTGTAAGTGTTACAAGATTTTAAAAAAAACTTACTTTTACTTGCCTCCTGTTTCTTTTAACTTTGAATATACAGTTCTGTCCAAGAAACTGTAAGGGTTGTAAACTCACTTTTTTGTGTCTCAGAAAACTGAGCTGCTTATTTAATTTCATGGCCCCAAACTGAAGCTTTATGAAAAACACCAAATATTTTTAGGCCTGCCTTTCACATTATTGTGTTTTACAGCCCACCTCTCTATACTGAGAAGAGTGTTTTTCTTCCCTTTGCTACTCTCACTGTTGGGTCTGCAAGGTTTCTCCTCGACTATCAGCTCTGAGATTCTTTAATTTGCAGGGAAAAATAGATATGGGTCAAAGTGGGGATTTTAAGTCACTGGGTTATGTTTACTTTACTTGGCACAGACAGCACTGTGTACTGATACTTGAGCTCGCTTTAAATATGCCTGTATATCTGTACGGCACAGCATGTAAAGATACTTACTTATGCCCTGGGAAGAGTAGAGGTCTGTTAGTTCAGTGATCCACCACTGCTAATTAATTTGATTGCCAGGTTTGTTAGACCTAGACCAGTTATCTTTGCAGAACATTATTCTGCCTCGGTTAGATGTGCACTTGAAAGCCCAGCTCAACTTTTCAGGCAGGCATTCAGTGTCAGATCTGAAATCGCTGCTGTGCCCATCTTTGCAGCTCTTTTTGTCTTTCTTCAGTATTTTATTTCTGTAGATGTGAGAACTTTACCTTCTGCAATTCTTCCTCCCCGGCACAGCATTCCAGAAAGAAGATAACTTCTTTCAAACATCCACTGAAAATGTTTGTTTTTCTCCTGCTTGCTTATATCCTTATAGGTCTGCTATTATCTATGAACCCTACTCATGTTATTAAATTCTATGTTGAAATTGAGTTTTAATGAGGAATGCTACAGAAAATAAAGATATATTTTAATGTAACGAAGGTGTGAATTATGCATGTTTTCTGTAGTCTGGCTTTTTGGCTACAGTGAGATGGAGAAAAAGATCACACATTCCAATGCCTGAAGACAGGGAAAGATTCCCAAAACCAAAGAGAGGCTACCTGTTTTAAACTACATTGAATTATATTCAACAGAAACTGAAGAAGTAAACCCATGAAATTCATTTTACAGTGAGAGCAAAAAGAAATTTGCTTTAATTTATTATGCCCTGATTTATTGGGTCAAGAAATAAATAGGATTTAAACAAAACCAAAAAAGAAACTATGCCTAATGTAGCGCGTTTTTTTTCCTGGTTGTGGATAAAACATATTCGTTTCCTGTTAAGAGCCTTCTATCCCTGTAAAAGAGTAAATACTAGACTCTGATCCATTGTTGCCCAGGTTCTTTGTTTCTTAGAGACAAAATATTTCCCGAACAGATAAGAGAAACAAGTTTGATTGACAGCTCTTAGCAGAGTCTCATCAGCTGCTGTGCTGACAGCCTGGTGATGCGCACTGTGCTGATGTGGTAGGGACTGACAGGTGATTGACAGCCCAAGACTGTGGAGACAGGAAAGATGAAGCATGCTCAGTAAGAATAATGTGCAGTGTTTATGCAGCACTGCAGAGAATAGGAGCTAGAAAGTTAACTCTTTCAGAGCAGAGTGGCACTGTAACACATAATGGATGCAGTTGCCACTGTACAGAAGATTAGAGCTTGTCTACATTTCTCTTCTGTTCCCTAAATGCTTTCTGTTCTTGGAGGAGCTATATACTGTGAGGAAGCAAAAGCATGAGCTATCACATTTGTCGCTGTAAAAAAAATTGATGTGTGGTAGGTATGATGAAGTCCTCAAACTGGATTTATTTAAGCATATAGATGTAGAATGTATTGAGAATTTCAGGTACTTTTTATGGACTTCCATCACCCAATTTTATATGGCATTGCCTAATGTTACACAGCAGAAATTTCAGAAGGAACCAGCTGAGCTCTTTTGCTCTATGTATCCCTAGAAAAATATAGTCATTTCAATTTTATTGTTGCTCTGAATCTGTAG